AGGACCTCAAGGATCCATCATCTATCCTGATGGCGGGAGGGCAGAAAAGCCTGACATTTTTCCTTACCCTACAATAATAAGTCCCACACCTAGGAATCTACCCAAGAAAAAATAAAACCCATGTTCACACAAAAGCCTGTATGTGGAGGATTATAGTGGGTTTATAGGTAACCACTCAAACTGGAAATAACCCAGATTGCTCAACTGGTGAAAGTATAAACAAACCATGCACATCCAGGGAAAAGAATACTACTCAGCCATGAAAAGGAACAAATTACTGGTCCATGCCAAGCAAGCATCATGTGCTATGGAAGAGGCCATACTAGATGGCAATATATCATGTGACTTCATTCACTGCAGAAAACGCAAAACTTAAGAGGCAGAACACATGAGAGGATGCTGGGGAATGGGCAGGGGAATCCTCTGACTTCAAGGGACCAGGAGGGAACATTTGCAAATTGGGAATGTTCTGGCTTGCTCATGATGGTGGTTATGTGTGTTTATGAGAATTCAAAGATCTGTAATCTAGAAATGGTGAGTTTTTACTGCATGTAAATTATGCTGACTCAGTAAAACATATTTATTTCATTTATCTATTAAAAAAAAAACCACCATCAGTCATTAGACCCTCTCCACCCTTGTTCCTTCTTCTTCACCTCTGGTAACTTCAGTTCTGTTGCCAAAGTCCACTGGTTTGTTTGTTTGTTTTGTTTGTTCATCTGCTTTGTTTCCTTGATAGTTGAAATCATACAATATTTGTCTTTTTCCTTCTGACTTTGCTTCACATACTTCCTCGAGTTCCTTCCATTTTACTGCAAATGGTAAAATTCCGTCTTTCCTTATAGCTGAATATACTCCATTGTATAGATATACGACTTCTCTATTCATTCTATCAGGGGGCACTTAGGTTATTTCCATATCTTAGCTATTGTGAATAATGTTGCAATAAACTCTAGGGTGCATAGAACGCTTTGAGTTAATGACTCCATATTCTTCAGGTAGATATATCCAGAAGTGGGATGGCTGAATCATATGGTAGTTCAATAAAAATGATTTCAAAAACAGCCACTTTATGCCCTGCTAAGTATCATGCTAATGTTGAATAAACTTGTCATTAAAATAATGCAAACAAGGGGCCTCCCTGGTGGTAAAAGGGATTAAGCACGGCACTATGAAGCAATCCACCCCCCCCCCCCCCCCCCGCAGCCTCTGCAGCAGGAGTTCAAACCCCAGCCGGCCAGGGAGAAATCCACATGGCGAAGCAGACCTCTCCTGTCTTGCCTGCTGCTCCCCTCAGCAGTGTATTTTGGCCAGTCTGCCTGTTCTGTTCCCCATTCTGTCTCTGGTGGATCCTCTCACCTCCCTACCCCCACATCTCTGGACTGTACCCCCGCTCTTGTATGCATAAATAAATCTTTTTTTAAAAATGATGCAAACAAGCCTGGGGAAGGTGGCAGGCCCTTTGTGCTTCACCAAACAGCCCAGAAGCTGGATTATAGCTGCTTTGCTCTGAGCAGGAGACAGATACACTGATTGACAGGGAGCCTGACTGTAGTTCCCTTGGATCAGTGGCCCCATGCGTCTCTCCTGGAAGAGATCTTCTGTCCACGCACATCTGTTCGTGGGCCACACCAACCATGGATGCCCGGACATGAAAGGTCCAGTGGCTACTTGGTGTGTATTTGTTTGCTTGACTCTGCAGATTCCTCAACCATGTCATGGTGGCTGCTTCTTATCATGACTCCCAACTAAAAAAAAAAGTGTTTTCTGGAGCATTACAGAAAGAATAGAAATTAGAATGGCAAAAAAAAAAAAAAATGGGCGTAGGAATCTCTCCTTCTCACCGTGTCCTCATTCATTGTTACACCTGAGCCACGACACATGGTCCAGGCAGCCGCTCTCCTTCACCCTCCTCTGGACACACTCCTGCGCCCAGCCTGACTGTCCCAAGGGCTCTTGTTCTAGGATAGTGGCCTGATAAGACTAAGCCCCAGACTATTGACAGCAATCTGGTTCAAAAGTTATATTGCGATAATCACAGATGTTCTCTTGAAACCTGGACTGTCTTATGTATAAACTGGATGTCATTTATACACAGCACATACACGCTATACTTAACCAAAATGTGTGTACTGCAAAACATGTGTATATGTCTACATAGTACAGTATATAAACATTGTGTGTGAACTCTATATTATATAGATATTTGCATATGCACACAAGTATATGCAGCCTGTGGGTAGTGAACAGTGGAAATGAAATGTCTGGGAGTCGAAGAGCTGGGGAAAAAGCAGCTATTGCATGCATCAGCACAGCAGCCTGAAGGAAGATGGAGAAAAATCGGGGAGCAGAAATAGAAGGGCAGTGTCTGGAGCTACCTCATTTCTGCCCTTCCAACACCAAGGTTTTTATTTCCCTGATTTCTTGAGATTGCTCCAAATTGACCTGATTTCACCTAAGTGGGTTCCTCACCCCTGAAACCTATCAATAAAACCTATGAGGCAGTCAGAAATAGTTGCTGGTTTCAGCTACCATGGATAGGGGCTTGAGGTTGAACAACATTTAAGAAAACAACGCTGTGGATGCATGCGTGCAGACTGAGGCATAAGTCCAAACTCTGCCCTTTGAGTTGAGGGTATTTCCCAGGGAAGATGAGACTCGAACTTTGCCTTGAAATAAAGGCAATATGCCCACTGGAGCAAAAGGAGTGAACAGCATGATTTCTAGGAAAAGACCAAGCTCCAAAAGAGTGATTGGTAGATTTTATTCCAGCAATATCTTACCACTTTCTTACAAAGAGCACTGTTCAAGCAAGACACGAAGGACAGTCTTTTATGGTCACATAAAAGTTTAATAATCTCTTTATCCTATCCCCTTAACAACTTCTCATGATCTTCATTTCATTCTGTTAACATTTGTCACACACATCTCTAGAATACACAGACAGACCTTTATTTGCTATACATTTCCTTTCATTTCATTGTTTTCGAATCAATACAGAATTAGTAGGGATGAATGTGGGAGAGAATACTACCTTTTCGTGAAGTAGATTCTTATGTGTTTATTTAGCACCTCTTATTTAAGGAGCTTAAGGTACTTTAATATTCACTGTAGCATCCTTTTGTTATCTCTGGGTAGGGAAAGTGTCAAAAATTATCATTAGTGCCTTTTATAGAAAGAAAAGAGAGAAAGCACAGAAAGGTAAAGTAGTATCAGCGGGATCAAGACAGTCACAGTTGAAACTTGGATTTTTAGCTCAGCATTCTACCTTGTAAACTAAAGTTTTAGAACATGTAGTCCACATCAAAAGGTTGTTTTTTATAACCTCTCCCTTTCCCTGGTTGTTGACTAAAAGGGCAGAGCAGACAGTAAATTCCCACCAACTGATGATCCTGGTGATGCAGTTATTCCCTGCAGGTTTTTGAATTCAGCTGAGGAGCCCCAAGCTTTGGAGAGCTGCCCTCTGATTCTCCATTACAAAGCAGAACTGAAGGCTACTATTCCAGCATTTTCTAGGGATCTGCTGCCAGAAGGGACAGACTGACAGTCAGCAGTCATTCCCCTCGGCTGGGCATCTGTGGCCACTGAAGTCTGGACAGTGGCCGTGATGAGCCCTCTTACACCCTCCCAAGACCATAAAATTAATGTTAATGGGCTTCAGGATTTTAATTTCTCCCCAATAAATGCCCACAACAGACAGAACCACCGAGGTAATTTCCTTTCCATCTGACTCAGGATGTCTCCTCACACGAGGACTGGTGCTAAAAGAAAAAAAATCTTTTGGATAAAAGTTTCTCTAACTCACAATACGAGCATTTGGTTTTTAATTTAATTTACACTAGAAAGCAGCAGGTATGTGTTCCAGTCCTACCAGGGGGAAATTAGACGCACGGTTCTGCGGGTCTATGGTCCACAGTCTCCTGCCTTTCTTCTCTAGACCGAGCACGCCCTAATATTTCCACTTCATTCTTTCTTTCCTGAGCTTCCCCAGCACCTTCCTTCCTCTTTATGTGCAGGCAACCCCCATATCCGAGTCATTCCCGGTTCTTTTCCAGAGAAAAAGCAAGCCAAGCTGCACAACTAGGGTTTTTGAGATGCAGTTATCAAAGTGCCTGCTGCCTCTGCTGCACTGGAGTGAATAAATTCCCCATTTGGGGGTGGCTTAGGGGCAGAGGACACACCTGCAACTTAGTTCTGCCTAAGGATTGACACAGACTTCAAAACATGGGGGGTTCCCCGTTTCCTTTTTTAGAAAAACGGGAACCCAGAAACGTTTTCAAAAAATTAAAATCCCCTCACTTGCTCCCTGAGCCTCTCTCCAGGCTTCACATTTCTCACTTTTTGTAAAAATGCTTAGGACCCCCCCCCCCCCATGCATCACCAAAACACAGGCGCCGACTTGTGAGGAGCAAGAACATTTAAAGGCCAGTCATTCTCAGGAGAATGTTCAAGAAAATCCTTAAAAAGGCAAAAAAGTAGGGGGGAGGGAAGTATCGAGAAAGATGTTACAGGAGTGAAATACAAATATGGGGGTGTCGGATATAGAGACAGGAATGAGTACAGACGTAAACAGAGACAAACTGCTGCTGAGATGATCAGGCGGTGAAGGGGAGTGAGAAAAACCAGCCAAGTAGAGAGCGGAGCCGCCTGCGAGCCCCTGGACATCGGTGAGCGGCACAACAAGTGCATGTTTTTCAAAAATACCCCGATTCTACGACGAGCCAGGAAGGCAGACGATGGCGGATGATTGGACGCAGATGTACCGGATGAAGAGTCGCTGGGGTGTAGATTGGGGGTAGATCGGGGGGTACCTCCTCGTCCCGGCCCCGCCCAGACGCGTGGAGCCCCGCCCCGCCCCGCCGCAGGTGCGCGAGCCCCGCCCCGCCCCGCGCAGGTGCGCCGCAGGTGCGCCAGGTGGACGCGCCGCCCGACGGGGCCCGCGCGGGGCGGCCTGGTCCGCGGCGAGGGGGTCGCCCGGCCGCACTGCGGGTTCCGGCCGCTCAGCGCCGCGCCCCGGGCTCGCCCTGCTCCTGCACCGGCCGCGACGCCTTGTCGGGCCCCGGGGCGCCGCACTCCTGCTGCCCCGGGCCGGGCCGCTCCTCCGCGAAGCGCGGCCCCAGGCCCGCGAACGAGGCGCAGCAGGGCGGGCTCTCCTCCTGCACCGGGCGGCCCGCCGGCTCCCCGGCGCCGCCGCCCGCCGGCCCCTCCTGCGAGTTCTGGCTGACATAGACCACGATGATGTCGCCCTTGAAGTTCATCACCTGCCCGCTGGAAATAAACGTGGAGTTACTGTTTCCAGTCACATTTCCTGCAGGGGAGGAAGAGAGAACACGCACAGGTGAGTCACCCGCTCCCGGGGAGAACGCGGTCTTGTGAGAGGAAGTTTCCCCCTGGATACAGGGGCGCTGGCGCCCAGTCCCCTCGCGGCCCGGCTACCCCTCTCCACTGACCAGCTCCTGAAGGACCCGCCTGGTCGCTCCTTTGTCGTTTCACCAGACCTGACAGAGGCAGAGGAGGGTGCAAGGGGGCAGAAAGAGCCTAGAGAAGCGATGCTAGAAGCTAGACCAGGGGCCGGTTGTGTGGGCTGCCGGCTGGGCTCAGGCAGACGGGCGGGGGCACCCCCCCACCCCCGGCGCACCCCCAACCCCTGCAGGACTGCAGGTTACTGGACAAAATCAGGCGCAGCGAAGAGAGGCCCCAGCCCAGCCTGCAGCCCGGCCCAGGCAGCCAGGGGCGCACGCAGGGCACGAGGGAGGCCCCAGGGTGGTTGCCACGGGCCCTGGCGGGGACCTCGGCTCAGCCTGAGCTCCCCAGCCTCACATCTCTTCACCTGCCTTGGGGGAGGGCCTGCCAGCGCAGCCCCGCAGGGCCCAGGCCGCCCCTGCACAGTATTTGGCAGAGGTGAGTCCATTTTCTCAACATTTTTTCTTTTTTTTTTATTTAACTCCGGAAAAAAAGAGTCAGAAGGCTGAAATGGAAAAAAGCCCGAATCAGTCCTACAGACACTTTCCTTGTGAACCCAGAGGGCTGTGCTGTCTCCAGGACGCTCTGGCACCACTCTTCGCGGGAGGCTGGAGTGAAAAAGATGTTCACAGCCGACTAAAGCAGCCCCGTGCTGTGCCCAAGGCGCCATCTTACTCAACTTCTGACTGAAAACTAAGTATTTCCTGACTGGTGAGAACCAGCCACACAAGGTCATTTCAGGACCGTGCAAAGATCTCCCCCCCCCCTTTTATTTCTCTCCGTAAACAAGTCCAGTTTGACTAAAAGTGAGTTTTAAGCTATATAATCTATACCCAATGCTAGTCCCAGTCAATTCTATCCTTCACCCCCATGTTTTCCTTCGAAACATCCTTAAAAATCCCAGGAACACAATTTGGGTTGAGTCTGAGTTTGTGCTCCCCAATTTCTAAATCTAAACCCCCCAATAAATGTCTTATTTAGCCTCACTGTGTTTTTCCCAGTCAGTCCTGGAGCTAGCCAGCCTTTTGAAAAACCAGTAGAAAGTTCAACAAATGTTCAGAAGCCGCCGGCTACCTCTTATTATCCTTTCATTTTATTTTTTATTTTATTTTATTTATTTTTTAAAGGTGCATGTCTGGGAAAGATTTAGGTGGAAACTAATTGTCTTTTATGACTCTCCCCCCCTTTAAGATTTATTTATTTATTTTATAGAGGCATGTATTTATTTATTTGTTTGGTTGGTTTATACAAGTACTGGGTACAGTCAGAAGCACGGGAGGGTGAGAGAATTCACCAGAGCCAGAGCGGGGAGCAGAGCAGGCAGAGGGACCAAAGTGCACTGCTGAGGGGAGCAGCGGGCGGCAGGAGAGGTCTGCGCGCCATGTGGGACCCTCTGAGGAGCAGTCGGGCATCGAACCGGCGCCACAGAGGCTGCGGGCAGCTTTGCAACCCAGCGCTCAACCACTGCGCCACCGGGGAGGCCCTATCCTTTTATTTTAAATAGAGCACCATCTGCTTCTGATGTTCTGGGAACTCCCCAAGTGGAAATAAGTGCCTCCAACCAAACCGATCCAGAAGTATCCCAACACTTAACGCCTCACAAAATCTTTTAGTCTAACCAGGGCAGGTGAACTTCATTAACTTCCCTGTCGTTTTTCTTCTCTCTCTTGACCCACGCTTAGTTATAATTCACACACATCAGATTTTCTGTCACCACTCCACACAGACATTTCCCCCAAACATAAAAGCCATGTCTTAAATGGTCTAAAATACCAACAGTGTACAGGAAATTCCTTGGGGGACCTTCCCTCCACCCATGGGGTTCATCCAGAAGACTAGACTGGTCCAAAGTTCTGACTTTAACTTTACCCCTTCTTCACCTGGAGATGTACTGTTTGTCATGCTTTTGATTTCTCCATCATTAAAAAATGTTATATTCCAACCAATGATTAAGAATCTGTTGTTTACCTTCTTGTCAGAATCTGTGATTTACCTGAGCTCAAGTAAAACCCATTTTGTGTGTGTGTCATCACCTTGCACATAAGATTCTGTGTTGAATTTTTACGTTAATTTCATTCCATGCTTCGTCTACCGTCTGGTTTTGGTTTCTTTAAAGTGGAAGGAGAGGACCTCCCTGGTGGCGCAGCGGTTGAGCGCTGGGCTGCGAAGCTGCCCGCAGCCTCTGCAGCGCCAGTTTGATGCCCAGCCACCAGGTGAGGGTCCCACATGGCGCGCAGACCTCTCCTGCCGCCCGCTGCTCCCCTCATTAGTGTACTTCGGTCCTTCTGCCTGCTCTGCTCTCCGCTCTGGCTCTGGTGAATTCTCTCACCCTCCCGCGCTTCTGACTGTACCCAGTGCTTGTATAAATAAATTAATTAATAAAAAAAATAAAGTGGAAGGAGAGCCAAGCCACCTGCTAGCAGTCTGCGTACAGAATCCTTCTGGAGTTAGGTCCCTCACTCTTCCACATTGTCTCGCCCACCTCAACTTCAGTAGCAAAGAAATTTTAGTCATTCTTTGAATCATCCCCAAGCATTTAAATTTTCCTAGGAACAATTCTCATGGTTATCGCCCTCATTTTTTACCAGTTAACCTAACAGTTAAAGTTTTAACTTACACGATCAGCTCACACAGGACTGGGAACACCCACAGAGTTTGGTAGCGCAGCCATTCTGCGCTGATGGGCCACGGCATTCTAGAAAGCTCCTTCAGTTGTAAGCAATCAGTGTGAGGGGGCTGCGGTCAGTGACAGAGGGGAAGGGGCCTGTGGGCTAATCTGTGGGTAGAGTGGTGACAGATGAAGAGCACCCACTGCAGTGAGAAGAGTCATAGACCCATCGCCCAGGTTGGCCAAGTACACCCTCCATGCAGGCAGTGGGCTTCAGGTTTGCTTTCTCTACTAACAGCGCTTCAAGGACAAAGACTAACAGGCTCCCCTCCCTACGCTGTCTTCGTGCAGACTCACCTGTGTCATCTAGTAACACAAACATCATTCTGGTGTTTTGGTCCCTGATGTGCCAAGGTGTGCAGTGACTAAAGGAATGGTGGTTTCAGTGGCTGCCTGGGTACGGGGTGTCAGAGGAAGGGCAGGGTCCTGAGTCGCCCCCACTAGCTCCCACTTTCCACATCTAACGAGTCTCCAGGTCTCAGTCTGTTCACATAAGAAACGGGCATCGACTTCCTGGTGGTACAGGGGTTAAGTCTCAGCGCTATCAACCTATCAGCAGCCGCTGCGGCCTGAGTTTGATCCCCAGCCAGGGAGCTGATGCACAGGGTCAGCCGACCTCTCCCGTCTCACCTGCTGCTCCCCTCAGCAGTGTATTTCAGTAGATCCACCTGTTCTCCCCACTCTGTCTCTGGTGAATCCTCTTGCCCCCAGCACCTCTGGCCTGCACCCCAGTTCTTGTATGCATGAATAAATAAAAATAAATCTTAAAAAAAAAAGAAATGGGCATCGATTTTCAAGTCCTGCTGACCTGGCGGGGGCAGCCACACAAAGCAGTGTATGATAAATGTGTTGGCCGAATGAATGTGTGCACACTGGCAGGATGGCATAAGGTCAGGTGAGATGCTGCGTTTGAAATGCTTGGAAAATAGCAAAGAATTAGTCACAGCGTCCATGATGGCATGACCAGTCGTGGGCCAGGGAATGCCCAAGGACACAGATTTGAGAAATGAACTGAGCAGTGAGGTCATCTTTCCAGCCCTGTCTTCTTGGAGGATCTCGACATTTCTTGAAGACTTACAGGGCCCTTACCTCTAGAAATCTAGCCAACTTTCATTTTCTTTGCTGAAATAATTCACCACTAAGTCTGGTTAGAGCACTCATCTAGATACTTCCACACTAAACCTCTGGCATCTCTTTTCACTATGTAAATCAAGTGGTTACCTTGGAGTAGATGAAAGTGGAGAACAAGGTGGCATTGTTCTGATCCTGTAAGTGGCTTCAGTCCTGCATTGTCCTTGTTGATAAACAGTAATTCCTTAAAGTTTGCCTTCACCCTTTCAGAGCAGAAGAGCTTTAACATGCAACTGTAACTTTATGCAGTGACCTGAGAGCACAAGGCTGGGATGGTGAATGAACAGGGCACAGGTCGGCCAGCTGCATCATCAGGTACGAAGGTGTTGCGTGGTTGCCATGGTTTCTTCACTTGAGACATTTGCCTGATGGGCTAATTCTTTCCAGTGAGTGCCAAGGAAGCCCCAGGCTGCCCGCTGCTGGGGGGCCCCTCTCTTGTCAGTAGCTGGTAAGGGAGGGGCTGTGGGGGGGGGTGACTTATCCAAGATGCCTAAAAAAGACTCCAGGCTTGGACAGGCACCACGTCCACAGACCTCTTGGAATACAAAGCCATCACTGGCCATTTCCCTCAACAGCCTTTCTGAGTTTTATCCTAACAGGCTGACCCCAGCATTTGTTTTAAATTTGCTTCATTTGCAAAAAAAAAAGGATGAGGTGGAGGCACATGAAAGAAAGGATTTCGCAAGAATTGGGGATAGTGAAAACTGTCCCGAGACAGTTGCAGAAGAGAGGACTCAGGTCAAGGTGGCCATCATCCCGTCTCAGACCCTAGTGTCCTTGCCTGTGCAACCTTGGACTGGCCTGGCTGCTGCCCTTTACCCGGTCAGAACACCCAGTGCTGGAACACTGAGGGTTCTCTGAGGCACAATAAACAAAACCAGTATCACTGGTTCCCGTTCAAGGGGAGGCAGCGCAGTGGTGTAAGGTACACGCGTCACGATCACATACGGGGTCCCTGCTTTGTTGCTCACTAGCTAGGTGGTCCCGGAAGAGGAGCCTGCGCTACAGGATTTCTGTGAGAAGACAGCATACCAGGAGCACTTAGC